GCTATGGCAACAGATCTCCCCTCTCTCCCTCAAGGCCATCCTCTTTGCTCTCTACACTCTGTGAATGATCACTATATTAAATGTGTTAAGAGAAAAAAGTAGAGCAAGAAAGCATTAGCAAGATTAGATAGAACAATGGATCACAGAAGTTCCCAGTTTCCTCACAACTGTGAGTGCACTACAATTCCCATCACCCCCAGCCAAGGTGGAGCGCTAAAACTATGTGACAATCAGCAGTGGTGTATTGACCATGCTAAGCAGATACGATGAGAAATAGAAGCCCATCAAACTAAGAGAGAACGCCAGTTTGGTATAGTGGTTAAGGCATCAGGCTAGAAACTGGGAGACTTGAGTTTTAGTCCTGCCTTAGGCATGAAGCCAGCTAGGTGACCTTGGGCCAGCCATTCTCTCTTAGCCCTAGGAAGCAGGCAAGGGCAAACCACTTCTGAAATCTTGCCAAGAAAATTGCAGGGACTTCTCCAGGCAGTCGCCAGGAGTCAACACTGACTCGAAGGCACAAAGGAAAAAAAGTCAGATTGAATATATGTCGGGCTTTTGGTCCATATATATTTGTACCCTGGGTCTGCAACAAGAAGTAAACCAGTGTAATGTAAGCAATTTTCCAGGCATTATAGAATGTATGTACCTTCCCTAACTGGACACTTTCCAGATATTATAGGATATTAACTCCAAGAATTCCCAGCATGGCCAAAGACGGGGAATTCTGGAAGTTACAGGGCAACACATCCAGAAGGAAACAGGATGGAAAGGCTGACTTGGACATTGCTGAATATTTTCTTGCACAAAAAATATTACTTTCATTAGAGGACTTACCATTTATCTTAAAGGACAGAGAATCTCCATCATAGTGATACAATGTGGGGCTGACGCTGTGCTTAACGTTAGGCACAGCATTATATGAACATTCATTGATTCACTGATTCTCTTCCAAAATTGTTCATGAAAGCAAAACTGGGAATAAGTAACCAACTTCAGCATCATCTGATATACCTTGTTGTAGGGACTATACTTTCTAGGTTTAAAGTTTAAAGTAATCAGTATATTAATTGACCAATTAAAATAAAGAAAAGGGAAAGTTGGAGAGATATTTAATGAAAAAAAAAATCTTTCCGTCCCCTTAAATAAACATCACAATTTAACCACACTACCAACTTAGCTAAAGCAGAAGGAGCCAGTGTGGTGTAGTGGTTAAATACTGGAGTCAGAATGGTTGAGATCCAGAGTCTAATCCACCCTCAAGCATGGAGGTTCACTTGGTGACTTTGGGCCAGCCACTCTTTCAGATGAACCTCTTTCACAGGGTGGTTCTAGCTGGCAAAAGTAGATAGAGTTCTGCAAAGCAGTTGGGAAAACCCTGATATAGTGCTTTAATAGACAAACATAAACATCAATAACACAGCTTTTAAAAAGATGCCTTCCTGATGCCCTTCAAATATGTTGTGACTATAATTCCCAAAATTCAGATAGAATAAGCTTTTAAATAATTAACTATGCAATCATTGTGCCAAGTCTAGTTGTCATGTTTAAATCCAGAGGATTTAAGTCAACCCAAAACTGTAAAATCAGAATGACATATTTGTATGTTTGTCTTGGTATGGCAGAAGAAGACACTTTTGGTCTATTCTCATAAATGTTTACTCAGCAGTTATCAGTCATACTCATAAGGACTTGCTCCCAGGTAAGTACAGATACAATCCATTGATTCATTAAGCCTTTTTTTCTCTTGTCTCCTTCTGCTTTTAATAACCTCAGTTTGACCCCTTGGAGACCTCAGAAGGCTTGCAAGTGCTCTAACAAAAAGGGAATTATCTTTTGCTACCTTCAATGAAAGAGAACCAAAAGGTGTAATCAATATTGTCCAGGTCAATTCAGATAAGTGTTTATGAATGAAATCCCAAGGGAGGCTTTGGAATAAAGCAGCTTTTCTCAACCCCACTTTCAAATCACTTCCACTGTCTGAGAGCCTCTGATGAGAAGCGTACTATAGTCCAACATGTTTAGAGAATGAGGTCAGGGAAAGCTGAAGGAAAGAAGGAAATACCAATGGCACAATCAGCATTAGGGAGATTTTCAAACTAATAAATCTCACCTGCACAGAGAACCCCAAAAAAAGATCAGAAGGAGAGTTAGAAAAATATCCACTAGTATATCCGATCTCTTCCAGTTACGATACTTCCCCCGTGTCCATCAAAGGAAAGGATATGAGTTTTTCTCAGAACCAAGCTATATTTTGGGGGTTACCATTAAGAATTAAGAGTAATCTCATATATTATTTCCACTTGTTTCTTGACCAGAGCCTACCCCATCTACTCTGAAATAGCTCCCAATTCAACTGGGAATCTCTTTTTTTCTGAAAGTGGATCAAGCTTATAGGGTGGCATATTCCTTTAGGAAGATAAGAAGCAACCTCATACTGAGTCAGAGGCCACTGATTCATGTTCCTCGGCATAGATTAAGCTGTCGGTTTCTTCCCAGGGTTTCAAACTAGAGCCTTTCTCAGCTATACCTAGAGACATCAAGGAACAAAACTGGGATATTTAGCATGCAAAGCAGGTGCATTACAAGTGAGCTATGACATGTTTGGAATCTGTTCAACAGCAAGATTAAATGCCAACCACCCACAGATGGCCTCATCTCTTGTTGTTAAATGCTGTTCATGCTGTACCGTAAACTTAGTCCTCACTATAGTACTGGCACCTGAATTACTCAATGATCAAGACAGGTTATCTAACTACAGTGCTTAAGATTTTGGTTTTAAAAAAAAACTTATTGTGATGGGAGAGTGGGCACAGAAGAGAGAGCAATCATTGTGTTTTGTTTTTAAATTTAACTAGCCAAATAAACACATCTCCAATCAGCAAGCTATCCACTTTCTATGTCAGAGCAATTAACCTATTTGCATGCACTAGATTTCAATTAGCATATATTAGATTTCAATTAGCAATTAACAGAAAATTCCTTTGTACTGCAGAATACAAAGGGTTTTTCTTTTTCTTCTTCCTTTCTCTCAAAATGCTTTTTGCAGACAAATTCCTTTCAAATCAGGTAATTCTTAAGAGAACATATTAGAATACATCCCCCACCCCCAGAAGCCTCTGTTTTGTCTTCTTTTTGCCCTCACTAAATACAAATAGCTAAAATTCAGAGAAATATTTAAAGTATCATCTGTTTTCATGATTAGGTATCATCTCCTTCTAACTCTTCTGTTTTATTTGATTGATTACACCAAATAAGTAAACATTGTTTTTAACAGAAAGTGTTAAAAGCACATCCTTTTTCCTTACTTAAGCCCCCCTTTGCACACATACCCCTTCAAATACCCTCTTCTTCCTCCTGTATTAGGGTCACTGTTGTGTGCTGGGCATTTGGATCTAAAATGCACCTAATGTGCAGGGTTTTTCATAAAGGCAGCTTAAAAGATGTATCACAGTGATTTGTTATGTATACAGATATAAAGCTGAAGTAGTCAGGACCTAGAGTTGCTTATCCAGGTACTCACAGCAAAAGCTCAAGGTGACATAAACCAGGAGAATGAAGATGATATTGATGAGCAAGAAAGAAGAACAATGAAACTAACTCTTTTTTTTTTTTTAAAGCAAAGCCTCCATCATTCAGATGAATAACCCCAAGGAATCCCTGTGTGTCGGTGTGTGTTAAGGAAATTCACTATTTTGGAAGCTGACCTATTTGTGGAGAAAAACTATTCAGACCATAATCGTGGCAACAATTGCATTCTACCCCATTCTCCAAGAACATGGGAAATGTACAGAAATCTGTCTCCACAACAATCCTGCCAGGTAAGACAAAAATGAGACAAAAACTTCCCCCAAGACCTTCAAAGGTGAAATAGGATTTTGCTATTCAAACCTCCCTGTCCCAGCATGGTTATCTGTTACAGGCATTGTGGAGGTAGGTAATTTTGAAATGACTGTGGTCCAGCTGTCTATTTTGAATACTGGCAGATTTTCCATGTTTTATGCTATTTCAGGAGTACCAATCCCAAAAGCTTTTGCCTGTCATTTCCACTTTAGCATCTGATATCCATCGAGTTGAACTGCTCGTCCCCCTGACCCCCACCCCCTACATACATATACATCCATCTTTTTAACATGCACGTCCATTACTCGGTCACTGCAGCATCAGGCAAATGTGTGAATACACCAACTTTGTAGGCAGAACGGTTAGATGTTCACCTTAACTCCACATGTCAGGGGCATAACAGTAACTGTCTGCAGGTTTAAATACAGATCTTCCCCAGTGTGGTAAAAAGAGGAATGGGTTAGGACGGGGTGTGTGCAGACTTATGTACCCTGTTCAGGAGAAAAACAAAACTGTGAGGTTTGGGATGTCTAATATGAGTTAGAGTAGCTGTCCTCAAAGAATAGTAGCCAAGCATAATGAATCAAGAGGAGAACATGCATGTGTGAACAAACCAAAGTGATTTCGCCACACAGATCACTGTGTGGGACCCCTTCCAGGGTGTTATGGAGACATTGATCTATGTAGTCCTAAAGGTCCAGAAAAGATAGGCTATAAATAGATGGTTCCGTGAGCCGTAACTTTCTTCTCTTGTTCTCGGAATACAAGCTCGACCTCGGAGATCGAAGGAGAGCATTAAGCACCATGGATAGCAACATGACTCCAATTTAGATTTCGTGGCCATCTGAGCAGAAACCGAAGACCCGGGTATACCGTGCAGAGGCACAGATATTAGACAGGCAGGCAGACAGACTGTCATTATAAAACGGGCGGTATGTCATGATCCCCAGCCCGCCATCACATGCGTTCATCAGCCCCCATCAGCTAGCAGGGGCTGCCTGGACAGAAGGTCCAATGTCACCTTTCCGAGAACGCAAAGGAGGTGCAGCATTCAGGTGCTCAAGCCTCGCTGCTCCCGGCTTCCCACAAATGAAACAAAGCAAACCTCCAAGACAAAACACCGCCCGCTCCCCGCCCTCCCCAACGAGCAGGGCTCCTACCTGGGATGGCCAGGTTGGCCAGCGGCACGCTTTGGATGCTTTCGGGCAAAGTTGCCATCCAGTCGGCGAATTTCAACTCAATCTTGCCTTGCGACGAAGCCATACTTGGTGCCTGGCACGGAAACCGCTCGCTCGCTGTCTCGCTCGCTCGCCTCAGCCGGTAGCAGCAGCAGCCGCGGCAGCCCCCTCCTTCTGCCGGCTCCTGGAAGCCCTGCCGCTTTGCTCGTCTCCAGCCCTCGCTTTGCTAGAGAGAGTTTACGCGCCACGCTGCGCCACGCCCACGGGCGGATGGCGCAGGCACGTGCGGAGTCGGCTCGTTATACTGAACCCTCTCGGCTGGCGCGGAATGGG